TCATTTCAATTGTTCCATGAAGATACGAAGGATTCGTCACCGCATAATCAAAATACTTTCGATTAAATCGCCAACTTTCAATATTTCGATTAAATGTAATCCCGGTATCAGTTCCCCATGCTTCCAAACCTTCATGATACGCATAACGAATAATGAAATTACTTTTTGTGGATGGCACATTAAGTTGTTCAATTAATTCCGCACTGCTTAGTACTATCTGACGTTGTGGACCGATCCAGATTTCGAAAATTTCACCATGGATTTTAGCTAAATCGTAAATCCATTTAGCCAAATTACTACTGGATTTTTGATATAGACTACCGACAATTGGTAATGGAAATGGACCTGGAAGAGGATTATCACGGGTGTAGTATTCATAATAGAAAAGTGAAATGTAAAGGATTATAGTAACGAATAGAATAGTAATCCAATCACCGAGACTCAGTGATGTAAGAAAATTTACTAAAAATTTCATTTTAAAAATTTAAAGAATAATTACGCAATTTTTGCATGTGAATTTCAGGAAAAAAAGGAAGTCAACATTAAATAAATACATTTACATGCATTGGCAAAATCACATGATCTTTCGGATTTTGTTCGTCTAATCCAAAGACTTTATTCGTATTATTCGAGACATGAGGTCGCGTCGAATGGAAATACATGAACATATTATTATTAGGCCGAGTGTAATAGAAACCGTGTAATTGTGTTGAAATTCAACACAATTTACACAGTTTCTATTGCACTCGGCCCATATGTGATAACTGCATTGTGTTACAATTTATCCCTCTGAGTGAAAAATTTTCAAATCTGAAAACTTTTGATTTGATTTTGCTTTGCTAAATTTGAATGGAGTTCATTCCAACATAAAATTATCTTATGCATACAGTACATGTATGAATACAAAAAGATTGTGAAATGTTGATTTTATATCTCTTCAACGGCAAATTGTTCAGTCGACTTCATAATATTTCGCTCGTGATGGTGCTGCTGACAATCGCAAGAAGATTCGTTATCAAATCTCTACTACCAAATATTGGATAATAAAATGAGTATTGTGACTATACACTGATTGCAATTGTAATTATTTTCTTGACAATGGTAACATTTATATTTGAACTTTGAGTCTACTATATAAAATGCATTTATATCATTTGGGACGTCGTTCGTTCGGGATTTTGATAATTCGAGACACCGTTCTTTCGAGATTTCGTTTGTTGGGCATATGAACTGTCGGAATTGTTTTGTTCCAAATTCATTATATGCGTATTAATTCTCCAAAGAAAATAAAAATCACGTGAAAACCGAAAATTGCCAAGAAAATTCTCGTTCAATTTAATAAAATTCGTTGATCATTTTGTAAAATGCAAACACGATCACATATGAAAAACTCGGTTTTCAGGGGTTAGTTTGTTGACGCAGGAAAAATAAGTGTTTAAAACATTGTATGGAATGATTCTCTAACAATTTATATAGGAAAGAGACAAGACATGTGATATCATCATTACCTGTAATCCTCACAAATTCTAAGGTGGAACGTGATGCTCTTTGAAATCCATTAATGAAGCTGAGGAAACTTTGAAATGAGGTTAGGGAAGTTATCCGTTTGTTAGTAAAGATATAAAATAAGAATCGAGTCAGGAGCATAATAGAAACAATGTTAAGTCTCCAGATCTGTTGAAGTCTTGTTAATCTGCATACTGGAATACAATATAATACCCTTTGATCAAGTCTTCCTACAACATTTCACCACTACTTGTATCGGCTGGATGGTACATTAATGATGCTAACCTTCTCTCATCAGTACAATTAAAACTCAAGATGACAGCGATCATAGTATTTGTGGCACGTGCTGTAAATTCCCACTCTCTAACTCTCTAAGGTCCAGTCCGGTACAGTAATTTAACTATTTGGACTTCGTAATAATAGAATAGTGTCTAGTATAGCTCTTTGCCCAATTTCTGAACATAGAGCCCAAAGCATGTACTGAACTAACAATGTATATACAGTTTACAGGTGCTCTTGAACCCTTAATCAAATCAAATCATAATAAAGCACAGTACAAATTAATTGAAACAGTATTACCCCTTGTTGTATTATTGAAATTCGGGTTTTGTCGCTTTTCTAACCGTAAAGAAACTCTGTGAAATTTGACCCATAAAACCTAAGAAAGCTATAGTTAAAAATTATCATGTAACCCCCTTCCCCTTTTCCAATCATTCTTTAAATAAACTAAAACTCTCACCTTTACCGCCCACAGTTACCGGCACAATACCTTTAAAATTTAGTAAAGGAATCCTCATACATCGAATAAATTTCCACAAACCTGTTAAACACGTCCTTCTTTGAAATCCAATAGACCGGATTAATATTAAACGAAACGAAACATCAAAAATATTATACTGCAATCTGAATCTATTTTTAAAAAATTTGATTTTTTTAGAAACATAAAAGAAATGTTCATTTTTTTACCTCGTTTATAAACTCTGGAATAATTTGTAATGATTTCAACGCAACTTCAGTTTCTATACTTCATTGGAATTTATTTCTTCATGATCACAGTTTCCAAGTTGCTTTATAAATTGTCTCAAATATCCTTTTGTAAGATATTCAACGTTGGTAAATCTTTCAAAAGGAGTCCCTTCAAATAACTGATCATAATTAATTTCGTAATTAGAAGATTCAAATATATAAATTCGTTTGAGATATTTGAAACATCCAGAGCAGTAGCTACAGTCATGAATATCGATATAGTAAAACAAACGAGAGATAATCGTTTTACATGTACATCGGACTAGCTCCATCATCCAACAGAGAGAGTTTAGTAAGTAGCTCTTAGAGCAGCGATGACTATCTACAGTGCAACGGCAAAATAATACCTTGGGTTCTAGTTATGTCATCACTTGCATAACTTGCCGATCCCGGCAAAATTCGAAATAAGCGTTAAAATTGATTTTGAGTTCAAGGTTAGGTCCGGATTAGGCTTAAAGACAATAAGATTATATGTAAAATTTTCTTCTCGTCATTTTTTATTAATGCTCCAAGCTAGATTTAAACATTCGTTTTCCGTATTTTTTCATTTTTCACTTTTTGTGTCGATTGTTTTGTCAGGTTGATCAAAAAATCTGCGTCACTATATACGTCTTAACGCGATAATAAACAAGCACGTAAAATCGATAATAAACAAGCACGTAAAATCGATAATAAACAAGACGTTAAAATCGATAATAAACAAGCACGTAAAATCGATAATAAACAAATTTACTGTATTGATTATCATGTTTCAGACAAAACGATTTGTTTACTCTCATGAGATGAGCGTGAAATATAAAAGGTTTTTCAATTCTTTTCAATCCCACACGCTTTTTTCATTTTTTTCATGGGTTTTTACTTTTGGCTTTTTTCTTTGAAGTTTCTTTGACTCCACCAAGTTTCTTGAAAACTACTTGGGGACGCCAGAGTTTTCTTTTGAGTTTCTTTGGTGCACAAGATTCTTGGGGACGCCTAAGTTTCTTTGTCAGAGTTTCCTCTGGTTAAAGGTTAAAAGTTTTTACACACTTGGCTGACTTTTTACTCCGTTTTCAAAGCAAAATGGAGTGGTCGTCTATTACTACCCCGTTTATTATCCTTTGACTCTTTTCTATTAGAAACTTCTGGTATAGTATCGTGTTAACGATAGCGGTTGTTTCTTTCTTGGCTAATTTCGAGATTATCTGAGTGTTGCTTTACCAAGAAGCAATAGGATTTTCTCTTGGCTGATATATCCTAGTATTTCGTTTTTTGCTTGGACTTGTCTTTCCGGTATAATTTGAGCTCTTTATCCGGTTTGACTTCCAAGAATGCTTCGAAAGAATGGGATTCTCAGTTTTCATGTTATTTTAAATAAAACCCGCCAATTTTTAATCAAAGGTGATGGAAAATACACCTACAAAATATTACTACCAGTGGCTTTTTTCCAGATTTTTGCCCTTGTAAAAAATTCTGAATACTCCTCTTTGACATTGTTACCATAAAATGGTTTCAATTGTTGCTCGAAACTCTTTAAAGGACTGGGGCGGCATATCTGTTAAAAGATAACGCAGGTGTCCTAAGGGGGAACTTACTGAGAACAGAAATCTCAAGTAGAACAAAAGCAAAGTTCCTATCAATCCTTTAGACCCTTGTGGCTAGAGGTGCCAGAAAAGTTACCAACTGGCTTGTGGCAGCCAAGCGTTCATAATGACGTTGTTTCGATGTTGGCTCTTCCTATCATACTCAGTATCATTCACTCACTAATAGGGAATGTGAGCTGGGTTCAGACCGTCGTGTAGTTATACTCTACTGATGAAGTATTGTTGCAATAAGAATTCAACTAGTACGAAAGGAACTGTTGATTCGGATAATTGGTTCATGCGCCTGCCCAAAAGGACAATGGCGTGAAGTTATCATCCGCTGGAATTTCTGAATGTCAAAATGAAGAAATTCAACCAAGCACGGGAGTAACTATGCATGCCTTGTCATTCGATTAGTGACACGCATGAATCGATTAACGAGATTCCCGCTGTCCCTATCTACTATCTAGCGAAACCACAGCCAAGAAAATGGCTTGGCAAAATCAGCGGGGAAAGAAGACCCTGTTAAGCCTGACTCTAGTTTGACATTGTGAAAAGACAGGTATAGTGGCTTCGGTCACGTTTGTGAAATACCTTCTCTGTTGAGCTTGGCTCTAGTTTGAAATTATGAAAAAACATAGTGGAAGTGGTTTCGTCACGTCGGTGAAATACCACTACCTTTTTCGTTTTTTTACTTAATGAAAGTGGGGCTGGGCATTAACTCACCTTTTGGCATTAAGCGACCCTCGGGGCGCGACCCATCCACGTTGATGACATTGTGATGGGTTTCTACGAGTTTCTAGCCAATTCTCGTAGATCGTAGTATTTCAAGGATTTTGCTCTGGTGATTCCTAATTGGAATGAGGGTTCGAATCCTTCCAAAATCCAAACTCCTTCATAGAAAAATCAAATGATCGATCTCAATTTAGAAATTTAAAGTATTGGACATTATTACGAATTGAATTCGAAATAATCCAATTTTAATTGAAAAAGAGGTCTTGCCTTATTATTGTTATGCGAAAAATAACTTGTCGATATGCTCGTTCTCATTTAGATATTAAAATTTCCTGAAGCTTAACAACATTTTGCAAAAACTGAACCAATTGATCATCTGTAATTACAACATTATGTAATAACGATCAGTTTTTACCGAACCAAATTCCAAATTTCCTAATTTGGATTATGAATTTTCATTGTGCTCGATTAGAGTAACGGTAAGGTATTGGGTGAGAAAACGAAGTTATATGTAAAATTGCCTTCCAGACATTTTTAATTAATAGTCCAAGACAGATATGCATCAGTATTCTCGTAAGCTTTATCCCTTACTCTAGCGAATTTGGGTCGATTCCACATCCACCGCCTTCTATTTCTTTTCCGTGTCTACACTTTAATTTTGTTGTTTTGCGTTAGCATTTCCATATTTTTTCATGAACATTATTGTTTTTTACTACAATGTTCAGCTCACTCTTGATATAGTAAAGTTATATAAGATTCCTTTGACCTGAGGTTTTCACTATATTGAGAATGAGTTAAATACATTGTTTATACAAAATACTGAGATAAAATGAATTCTTTGAATCAAGTATTACTTCTGATCATTTTGAAAAATCTTAATATTTGGTTCTGAGCTCGCACCGTCATTTCCGTTTGAAATACGTATCCTTGGGAGATAGTTGCAGAAATTAATTGTACATGTTTTTTATATACTCTTAATAACGATACATATTTGTTAATTCGACAATTCAAATGGTAGTAGTAAATGAACAGACAGTAATAACAAACAATTTCTCAAGTAAATTACCGAAACTTCCAGTAAGATCAGATACTCCTAGACGCAATAAAGAAAAAACAGATCTAATAATAATAAAATTAAAACATACCTTATCATCTTTCGTCAAAGATCCAACCCATAAGAGAGTTTGTGTCGGAAAAATTGAAAAAAATCAAAGTTCCGTATATAACATCATAAATTAGATTTATAAATCAAAATTCCTCCAGAAAAAAATTAATAATACTTACAAGTCTATATAGATTTTTTCCATCTTATACACATAGTTATCGTTGTTTTCGTCAGATTCAAGTTGCTTTTTTTAACATGTATTAAGTACCTCTTTCAATTTCCTTTCGTGTATCACCTGTATAGAAGACAATATGATATAAGCACGGAATAACTAAGAGAAAAAGAAATATTAAAATGTTAGTTGAAATTAGTTAACTATCTAAACATAAAATGATAGAATATCCAGTCCAGGAAAAAAATGAAATTGTTGTAAGATCGCAATTTACATGTATTTATGCCGACAAAATTTTGTCCGAGAAATGGTACGATATGGTTCAAGCATAACAATGATACATGGATGGATTTAACGAGAACGAGTTTTGTCCAAAACATATGATGATACCCATTGAATCACGATATAATGTATTATTAATACACACATGGTATTGAATCTTTAATCTCTTGTTAAAAAGGTTTTATTATTGTGCAAGTTGAATCAATTACCATCACTATTAAGCGGTCGTAAACTAAAAAGATTTCTTATCGTAAGCGTTGTCAATTCCTTATACGGTATTGAAATTTTCAATTTTTTGTGATAAATCCCATCTTATAATTCGAATTCTTTCGTGATCGATTATGATGAAGGTGACGACGACAAATTGTCACCGGCAGCACGATCGTCTTCGCTTAGCTCCTGAATTTTCTGCGCAAAGATTCGATGATGATAGATATACGAGTAATTCGCATTAGCCTCAACTGTCAGTTCTTTCGTTATCTTTTCAACCTGTTTTTCGCTGATTTCCGAAACAGTAACCAGTACGCCAACTATCGAAGGCAAGATTGTTTGTAAACATAATGCTCCATACTGTTGATTCCAATTACCAAGGGGAATTGATTTTTTATCGTGGTTGATATGCTCGAGTTGTCCAGTGGAGTGAAGAAAGTCATCAATTCCAGTAGCAAAAAAAAAAGGATCTCGGTCCGTTTCTGTTAATTTTGTATGCACTGAATTATGGGATTTTTTTTTACTATTTTTTTTTCCAAGAGGTGGTATAAGTAACAGTAAAGCAATTATTCTTACTTAATTTGACATATTTGTCCATCAATTTTCCTGGATTATTTACGACAATTTCGGGCTCCACTAGCTATTGTTAGTGTCAACAAATTAATGTAAAGAAACGATACAAGACCAGACCAATCGCAAGTAAAATAAAAAATTTCGTTTACCTCTAACCATCCACCCGGCACCAATAACCTCAATAATTCTGGGATAACTATCCTTTCATACTGCCCTCTCGTAAACCATATTGCCATAAAACGGATATGAATAAAATGAAAAGATTCATCGGGGAAATCCAGTCCATCCAAAATATTCCCCGTTTGAAATTTAACGTTGAATGGTTTTTCGGTAGGAAAAATAGATATCTTATCTATACCGGTTATCTCGGACCTTCGATAGTCTGATGCCATGTCGCAAACCCATGTACCTGAACCGCATCTAATTAAGATAATTTCATTTAATAGACACGTTCACATTTGTATAGTTATAAGGATCCTGCGATGTGAATACATAAATTTCCAATATAGTAAACTTGAATTCAAAAACGTCTCATAAGCCCCCCCCCCCCCCCCTTTGGTATCGTGAATATTCCAAAAAATTTTACTATTAACTTCGCTTCATTATATTTGAGAGTGCCTTTGTACGTACCCAATGTCCAACACTTTAATTCCATGTTCTAATGCTTCGCGCATAGGCGAAAAATAATTTTCGTTCCATATCTCTCTGGTTAAATGATGAATTATTTGAAACCTATCTACTTCTGAATCCTTTTCTGGAACATAAGGCAGAAATTCTTCGTTGTGATTTAAGGTTTTTAGTATTCGTAGTATATTGCCCATGCTGTATTATTATGCGCGTATGTATCTATGTAGAATTTTATCTTATTATGAATTCAAAATAATAAGTTAATTTTTTTCATTATAAAGAAAAAGCAATTTCTTGTATATGAATTTATGCACAAACCTATTTTTTCTTGTACAACTTTCGGAGAAAATTATGTAATGATAATTTCATAAATTTAGCAGGTTGCCTTGTACTGTATTCTAAGAAAAAGACATTAACATAGAAAATATTTTTATTATTGAAATTTTATGTGCATTAAAAATAAAATCAAAAATCTGTGGCACATACTAAATACAGACTTGTTACTGTTTTGTTTTTATTATTATATCATAGTAAAAAAAACTGAGAAACATAAATCTTTTTTATTATCCACGAAGGGTTTTGTTATCGATCATACCTCAGTAAGAGAATAAAGGTAGCAAGTTAATGTTACACGTAGATCACAAAGTCTCTCTGAACAGGATTTTTCGAGTTGTTGAAAGTCCCAATTAATATCGATATCTACTAAACATGTATCTTTCCCACACATTCGCTAACGTTACAAAAAATCTAAAATGAAAAATCAGTTATACAATGAAATAACTTGTGAAATAAATGCGCATAAGCTTTTTGCTACCCACGTGCAAATACATGTACATGTACCACCATTTTGTGTTGCAAAAGATTATCTTATATAGTCGGAATGTGCTACATTAAGTGAAACCAAATACATGTACATGTACGACTAAACCGGTTCTTTAAGAGCATCTCTCTTTTTTTTAAACAAGAAGGGCACTGAAAAAGATACCTTTTGTGTTTACATGAAAACCCCTCAAAGAAAAATGGCTATAAATCGTAATTGTAAGTTCCAAAGATTACCCTTACGTATAAAGAAAAAATATTTATAAGACCGAGAACCAACCATAAATGCAAGACAAAAATCGTATTTCATATTACAATAATGGAACGTACATAATTTGTTAGCATGAAAAAGCCAAAATAATTCTAATTAAACAATTAAGTTTTCTTTAACTGACTACTCATAATGATCGCATATCACAATACATAATCTGATTACAGTTACGCTGCAGGTACATGTATTATATAATATATATAGATCATGAATCTAATTTGATGCAGCAATATTAAAAATTATTCAAGGTTAGCAAAATATATAAGTGAGAGGATGATTATGTTTGAAATTTTTTAAGAAGTTCCGATGCATTTGAGCCTGTTTCTCTGATTAGCATGAGAGTACAGTCATAATCAATCACTCCTTGGAAACAGCAAAAAGTGTGACTACTGTATAAAGAGGTTGTCACTATATGTAAATCAAAATTTACTATGCTTCAAAATACATGTAAATAGGATCGGGAAAACCTGTGATGTGTGGCGGAATTATAAAAAATCTTATGCATGTCTGTCCTGTTATGAATTGAAATAGAATCTATGTGGGATTTTGAATAATTCAAAATCAACACAGATTCTATTTCAACTCGTGACAAGTGGCTCATATAAGAAATGCAACATGAAAAGTTATATGAAAAAAACTCCCGCGTCTCTTAACATTATTTAAATAAAGCTGGTTTCTATACTCATTTTAAGGCTAATAATCTAGAGAATGTCTAAAAAAATCTATTAGTGAAATTTTAACTCCAGTTATCAGAGTTCCGAAGAAAATTGACCTAATAAAAAATGTGCTTCTTGATGAAAATTATCTATATACCAATTTCAGTTAAATTAGCGTTTAATAATTAATGCTAGTCATTATTTCACTATTAATTTGGTACTTTGGGATCTAATAACTAAACGAATTTGGTGCCATTTAACTGAAAATTGGTTTGCAGAGAGTTCTCATCGAAAAGTACATTTTTTTATTTGGCCAGTCCCAATTAAAAATATTCATGAGAATCACTTAATTTCTTTAGAATGACAACATTAATATATTTCTTTGGACATTCTCTAGGCTATTAGTTTTAGGAACCAGGTACATTTAAATAATGTTAAGAGGAGCTAGAATTTTTTTTTCGTAAAACTTACAAATCTAATACATGCCCATAATTATAGAATAATCAAGGGTGCCATCCAACATCCCGAATTTAACCTTTTACAATTACCATCCAGACATACCACGTTCTATATGCATATTAATCGACGCGGATAGCAAACATAAGACAATTACTCGCCCTAGTTTTACATGCATATATATGTGTCGTGTATATAAAATTAATAAAATGTATTTTTAAATCGTAAAAATTATTGGGAAGTTAGTTTAGATTGTCAGGAAGATGGGTGGTCGGCATGTTGGATTTTCGGAAGATGGTGTCAGGCCGTTGGGGATGCACCCATAATTACCTGGGTAAAGCTAAAAAAAAATAATTTTAATTAAAATACTTATATAAAATTCTGAAAGTTATAAGTCATACGCCTGTAAAAATAAACTAAAAAATAATTTTGCATTAATCTCTTCTGGAATATTAATTAAAGTTGATAATCTTATCTTTGCGGTCAAAAAAAAACCAAAAATAGCCTAGTGGATCGTTCGCAATGGCTCCTCGAGATTTTTATTATAAGCATGATAATTGTTTAGCTAAACTTTGGGGAACCATTGAAACAATCCGTTAGGCCATTTTAAGAATTCTTTATACTGTTAGAACTGTAAAAAAGAGAGACAAACAACTTTAATTAATGCCCGAGATGAGATTTACATAATGGAATTTTTATAAAGAAAATGGTATGTGTATCGGTTTACTTTGGAACATACCGCAATGAAACTGAGAAAGGATCTAATAGAAATATAAGACCCATATAATGAATGTGTAATTCAATTAAGAATTACGGACCCAGCGAGACTATAATCACGAAAGAGACAACTTTTTGATAGGAAGAAGAGAAGTAACTACTGCAATGGTAAGCGTGTAGTGTGAGTCTTCCTCATCTTATGTGAAGTCATATGATAAAGATCGAGCTTGAGGGTTTTTTCCAGATATGAACGTGGCCACAGCACTAAGACATACTAACTGAAACTCGCAATTATTTATCATAGAATTCCTTTGATAAGCTATAGGTGCGAATTTGTTCTATTTTCATTGAATCGCAAGTTCGGAGATCCGTCTAACCCAAGCGACTTAGAGGCCGTAACCGCAAGAACAGATTTAGCTAATCGGTTTACTTTAGGCCAGAAATTCATCGAATAAAATAAACAAAGGGATTCACCATTGGAACAAATCAGATCATCAATACAATGACCGAAAGTCTACAAACGAAAGAAAAAACAAAAGAATGAGATAACTCGAAAGTAGCGATATTTAAAAAGTAAATGAATCTCCTACCAGTCAAATAGTCATTTCACAATAATTAGAATGATTGATTTTTTTCCTTTTTTCAATATGCAAATTTTTTAATTAGCCCGGCAAAACACATCCAAGTTATGAAAAATGAATATTACAATATATACAAGCAAATCGATGCCTAGGAATTCTAATTAAAAATGCTGTGATAGCAATTTTATATATAATTTTGTCCTCTAAATAACCATAACCCTTATCCTGTCCTTATGAATCACTAATCGGGTGTGCTGGAATTAGGTAATTGATCACATAATCTACAAGGAAAAGTGAGTAGGCAAGTAGGCATGATAAATAAAACAAGGCCGACCTTTAGACCCAGATGGAGGTACCTCGAAGAAGTAGAAATGCGCGAGGAAAAATCTACCTTCTATGAAAGGTGATGCATCTACGGAATAAATGGAAGTTAATTCAATACGAGAAATTGTCTGATGGAAACCGGATCAAGTTGTTGAATTTCTTCGCCAAAGATGATTTAAAACTTGATCAAGAAGACATCGATATAATCCAAACACACAAGATCTCTGTCCATGACTTTCTTAAATTGACAGAACATCGTCTTCTAAGAATTGGACTGGTTCTTGGATCTGCTATTGGTTAGCTTAATGGTATTGAGCAAATAATGCAATCACTGTTTTATTCTGTAATACTCTTTCACTTCTTACAAACTGATCCTCATTCTTTTTACATTTGCTACTTTTGTTATGTCAATTTTTTCTTTATATTTCTATAATGAACCTGAGGTTAAATATCTTAAATTGCTTTCATCCCGTGAATGATACTTAAATGCCCATCATCGAACAAAGGTTCGTAAATGTTACAAAAAATTATTGGACATCATTCTGCTAGTAAATCTTTCGCAATAACTGAGGAATCGTATTCTATATATGATACGAGTTTTGTTGTAGCAATATAAGCATCCTTGGTTCTAGTTATCTATGAACTTTGAAGATAATCTGTCTAACTTCCATATACATGTAGATGTTTCTGTAGTTTATGCATTTGAACTTTTGAAGATGTTGCCAAATAATATTAAGTATTACATGTATATGCTTTCCGAATTATTTTTTAATTTTTTATCTGTATTATATACATATTTTAAATCTAAATGTCTTCAATGTATGTTTATTACAAATTTTATTCTTTTCAAAAGCCAAAGTTTATTAATTATTAAATTAAAATAAAAAATATATTAAAAATAATATAAAAAAGTTATATTAAGATATACTTTATTTAATATAAAAATTATAAATATTAGGTATATTATACATAACTTTATTAGAAGTGATTATTAATTTTATTTTTATTTTTACACTGAAGTATATTTTATTAATAATTATTGAAAATTGAATAAGTTATATTTTCAGTACTATAATACTTTAAGTACTATAAATAATACTTTAAGATACATAAAAATGATTAAAAAGTATTCTAAATTAGAAAGTGATATTTCAAATTGATTTTAATAAATCAATATTTAGATTATACTAGTATAATTTGTAATATAAAATCACAATTATCATAAAATTATAATTTAAATTTGTAAAAATTTATAATATATATATATATATATATATATTAATAATAATTTACATATAAAAATTTTTAAATAAATTATATTTAAATATTTTTTTAAAAATATACATATTATATTATAAAAAATATATATT